TCAATGTTTAATTACCAGGTTCAATCCCTGGTGGGTGGCATGCAGGAGGCAGCTATCAATTCTCTCTCATCGTTGATGTTTCTATCTCTTTCTCCCTCTCTGAAATCAATAAAATTAAAAAAAAAAAAAAAAAGCACCCAAAGCTTGCTAAGGTAAGAATGCCCATACTTCAGTGCCAAAGGTCCTCCCTTCAAGATCCATCCCACCCCATAATATTAATAAAAAATTACACATAAATACCAAAGGCAAATGTTAACTCACTTGATTCTCAATTATAAAATTAACTGTCCAAGCCTAGAGAAACAGAGACCATTCCTGTTCTCAAATATATTAGAGGAAACTATCTTCTTTTTACTTGAATCCCTCTATCTTCCATGCAAAAGTTTCTGATTTTTAAAAAATATTTTAATGATTTGAGGAAGGGAGAGGGAAAGAGTTAGAAACATCGATCAGCCACTTCCTCCACACCCCCTACTGGAAATGTGCCCACAACCAAGGTACATACCCTTGACTGGAATCGAACCTGGGACTTTTTAGTCCACAGGCTGACACTCTATCCACTGAGCCAAACCGGTCAGGGCCAAAGTTTCTGACTTTAAACTTCATTATCTTAATGCATTTTCAACCTATTTATGTTTCTCTTCTTTGTAAATAAAAGTGTTTGTCACTATTTTCTACTTAGTAAGTAATCAGAAACTTACTCTTTTCCCAAGCTCATGTAATCTCAATTCTTTATTTTATTTTTGCCTGTCTTACATTATAGTCCTTTGAGTATCTCTTTGCTTTACTTCCCCATCAACTTATTCATCCCTCGACAAATACTGATTGAATGGCCATTTTAAGTACTGAAAAATAATGTGGCAATGAGTAAAATAAGATAACCCCCTCCTCTCATGGAGTTTCTTTTTAAAATTTATTCTTAATTATAGTTGACACACAGTATTATATTACTTTCTGCTGTACAACATAGTGATTAGACATATACCTCATGAAATGATCATCCTAAAAGCTTACATTCTAATGGGAGGAGACAATGATCATAAAACCATTAGATTAGAAGGTAGTAAGTGCTATAAAGAGAAAGAAAACAGGAAAGAGAGCTAGAAAGTGTTGGAGTGCAATTTTAAGTAGGGTTGTCAAGAAGACCTCACTAAATGAAGAAAAGTTAAGCAAAGACTTATAGATTCTGATGGAATAAGCTACATCTGGAGGAAGAGCTTTCCAGGCAGGAGCAAGAAATATAAAGACCTTGAGGGGTGGGCACATCATCGTGCTGAAGAAAAACAAAAAGGCCAATATTGCTGGCACAGAGTGAGCAAGGTGAGTAGCAGGAAGCAAGGTCAAGCAGTAAGTGGGGAAGGGTGGGACCGCTCATGGAAGGTCTCACAGACCTTTAAAGGACTCTGGTTTTTACTCTAACATAGGAAAACACGGAGGGTTTCAAGTGTGACTGACGCAATCTGCCTTCCACATTAACACTACTCACTCTGGTTGCCGTGCTGAGAATTGACTGTAAGTGGGCAATGGTCGAAGCAGGTAGACCAGCTATGGCAGTAATTCTGATTTTTGTCTCCGATTGGGGCAGGGAAAGTGAAAAGAAATGGGATTCTGGACATATTCTCAAGGTAAAGGCAACATGATTTGATAAATGGAAAAGATGAGAGAGGTGTCAAAGATAATACCAAGGTGCTATGACACAGAAGTTGTCATTAATTGCAATAGAAGACTGCAGCAGTAAGTTGGAAGAAAAAGAAGTTCAACTTCAACATGTCAAATTTGAGGTGCCATCCAAATCCAGATGTCAATCGGCAACTAAATATTCAGGACAAACGTCCAGGTTGAAGCTAAAAAGTTGGTCATCCACATTAAAATAGTCTTAATATAAAAGACTGAATGAGCCTTGGCTGGTTTGGCTCAATGGATAGAGCGTTGGCCTGCAGACTGACGGGTTCCAGGTTCAATTTTGGTCGGGGCACATCCCTGGGTTGAGGCCTCAATCCCCAGTGGAAGGCAGGCAGGAGGCAGCAGATTGATGATTCTCTCTCATCACTGTTGTTTCAATTTCTTGCTCCCTCTCCCTTTCTCTCTGAAATCAATAAAAAAAAATATTTTTAAAAAAGACTGAATGAAATCACTGCAGGTATGTGTTTAGGAGTGGACCAAGGACTGAACCCTAGAGTCACGAGATTGTAGAGATCAGGAAAAACCAGAAAATGAGACTAAGAATAGTCAGTGAACTAGGAGGCAACAAGAGCACATGTCATAAGGCCAAGTCAAGAAAATCTTTCAGAGGGAGTCAAATGCTGCTGACAGCTTGTGTAAGATGGGACAGAATGTGCCTTTAGGTTTGTCCAAGTCATTGGCGACCGTGATAAGAACAGTCTTGGTGGAATGTACTAAATAGGGAATTGGTGGGAATAGGTAAAGAGGAACTGGAGACAACTTTTAAGATGCTTTACTGTAAAATGGGGCCGAAAAACGGGAAGCTATTGGAAGTGGCAATGGGGTCTAGGGGTTTATGTATTTGTAAGATGAGAAAAATGATAGCATCTTTGTGTGTTGATAGGAAGATCCAGGAAAGAAAAGGAAATATTTTCTAAAGAAAAGAAGGGAGAATTGTTGAGAGACATTCTTAAAAGCTCGAGTATGGAGTGTTTTTGGAGGAGCAGGGTTTCCCACCCTGACACCAATGGCATTTTGCCCAGATAATTCTTAGTGTAGGGAGCTGTTCTATGCATTGTAGGATATTTTGCAGCATCCCTGGCCATTGGCCAGTAGCAGTGCCTCCCATTTGAGAATCACTGGTACAGGAGGAAAAGCAGAATACATGGGGTACAAGCACTGAGATAGTTAAATGTAGTGGTGGGAGCCTGTGAACATTTTCTGATTGTTTCTGTTTTCTCTTTAAAATTGGAACCAAAGAAAGAGTGAGAATGAGGGGAGATGTAGGGAATATTGCTAGGTAGTCTAAAGGACTCGCTTAAGTTTCATGGTGATGGATTTGAAGTAAGACACATCAACCTTTTGGCCACCCCTTTCAGCTGCATGGGTCTAGGCGTAAAGTAGGTGAAGAGTTGACTATTACAGAGAGGCAAGGGAGGTGAGGTATTTGCAACAAAGTACTCATAATTAAAACTTAGATGGAGGAGGGAAATGAAGACACAGAGGGGATGAGTTCAGTGGAAAGGAAGATCAATGGATTATAGGTCCTGGTGAAGGGATGAATTGTTGGATTAAGTGCACTAAAAAGGATAAACTGGTAAGATCGGAGGTAATGGTGAAAGAGTGGGTTATTTGGGAATAATTTATGAAGTGGTCATAGGTCTAGAATATGACCAAGGGAATGAATGCCTGAAGGGGGGTTGGAGGACAAAATCACCAAAGGAGCAAAAAACTGAGAGCATTATTGTGTTTCCCCAAAAATAAGACACCCCCTGAAAATAAGACCTAGCGCAACTTTGGGAGAAAAAATTAATATAAGACACTGTCTTATTTTTGGGGAAACAGGGTAGAAAGTTAATCCACATAGATACTGAAATCAAAATTCATGACAGGAATGGTATTGACATGGTATAATCTGAATGACAAGTGTTTCAAAGTTGAAGAGTGTTATGGATAAAAGAGAATAGTCTAAAAATGGCGTAAGGAAAAATGAGAAAAATTCACTGCCTCTAGGCCATGGTACAAAGGATGTGAGAGAAAACACCACCATTGGAGGTGGTAGCAGGAGGAGAGGCCTCAGGAGAAAGCAGGGCTCAGAGCAAGAATGTAAAGGGAATATTCAGAGGAGAGGCTAAGGGTATAGGGAATTTTGTTAGTAACTGGCTATTAGTTGAAAAGAGAACAAAAGAATTCCAGAAGTTAGGAGAGGAAGGTAGATGGGGACAAAAAAAGAGGGTGAAGAGTAATGATTATTAGCCTAAAAGATGAGACATGACTTGGTAGTTTGAAACTTCTTATGGTGATTGACATAAGACAAAGAGCATGATGACATTTGCCGAAACCGGTTTGGCTCAGTGGTAGAGCGTCGGTCTGAAAGGTCCCAGGTTCGATTCCGGTCAGGGGCATGTACGCTGGTTGCCGGCACATCCCCAGTAGGGGGTGTGCAAGAGGCAGCTGGTCAGTGTTTCTCTCTCATCGACGTTTCTAGCTCTCTATCTCTCTCCCTTCCTCTCTGTAAATCAATAAAATATATATATTAAAAAAAAAAAAAGAGCATGACGACATTAATTCTCACAAGGTCTGTATATCTTGTGCCCCCCTTCAAGCCTGCCAATATAAGTGCATGTATGAGTGACAGTTTATTCACTTTTTATCTTCATCAGAGGATGCTTTCATTGATTTTAGAGAGGGAGAAATGAAAACATTGAGGTGAGAGAGAAACATTGATCGCTTGCCTCCTATACCAGGGATCGAACCAACAACCTAGGTATGTGCCCTATCAGGGAATCGAGCTCCCATATAACCTCTGTGTACAGGATGGCACTCAAAACAACTGAGCCACCTGGCCAGGGCAGAACAGTCTTATTCTTGAGTTTTAAATTAGTATGCAATTATACCTGGCTCCAGGCTATTTTGAAGGAAGTCCTGAGCACCTATTTCAAAGAATGTAAATGAGACAATGAATGTAAGGCAGTTAGCACAAGGCCTGAAACAAAAATATTAGTTATGATACTTCTATTAAGGGGATGTTAGAAGAGAGCCTAAGACATCCCCTCAATCTTTGCTTCAGAGTAGCAACCCCCAAGGCTACGCTACTCTGACCTCTGCCTCCTTATCCACTCACACCACCACCACCAACTTACTAGTGCCATCTCTATATTGTTCCTGAAAAAATACAAGCCCATTACCAACATACAAAACCAAAAATATTTTATTGCTGAGTCATCTTGAGGTTCAAATGATGGGAAGAGGAGTCCATAGCCTGGCCAGGACTCCCATCAGGATGGAGATAATGGGCTCCACTTAGGGTACTAACTACTCTGATCCTGTCCACCTTGTCAGTCCCTCCAGGTGACTTCTACTTCATCTGTCCGAAACCTGTGAAAAAAATAGGAAAACTTGGTGGGTGGACTATCCTTTAATATCTTCCATTCTTCTCTGCTCCCATTATTCTGAACCCACTGATGTGCTGATTTTTGCCTACCTCCCATATAATCCTATCTACACCCTCCAAGGGGGTACCTACCTCTGCGTGACCCCAGATTCACTGAGGGGAGTCCTGTGCCCTGCCTGAAACATCTCCCAGCCAGCCTGGGCTATCATGGCTCCATTGTCAATGCAGAATCTGGGAAGGAAAAAGAGATATGAAACTTAGGGTCTGAAGGTAGAAAACTACAGTAATTGGAGAAAAAAAAACAAGAAAAGACAAGGACCTTTACCTCTCATCTGTGGCAAAAAGCCGGGCTCCACGTTCCCGGCACATTGTCTCCATCATTTCCTGTAGCCTCATGTTACCTACGATGAGGTGGTGGGTAGGATTAACTTAGTTTAGCCATTTCTCCAGGCTACCTGTATGCCGCATGTGCATTTAACTAGGAAAGTGAAGTACGGGTCCCAGGGGGGAAAGGACTGGGAAGCATAGGATAAGAAATAAAACTAGTAATCTCCCCAAACCCTCGGGTTTAAACTATCAGGAGGAAGAAACACATGCCCAAGAACAGGAAGAGTCCAATGATACGTACACCCCACACCTCCCACGACGAGGGCCTCCTGGGAGCCACAGTGTGCCATGGCCCGCTCTGTGATCTCTATCAGCATTGCAAACACAGTTTCCTGTGGGGGGCAGACAAGGAGAAAACATCAGAGGCAATCTCAACTTAGCCCCAGCTTCCTGTCCCAGCTTTCTACTCCATTACCTGCAGGGAGAAACACAGATCCTCAGGAGTACACTCTCCTGTGGCCAACATCCGCTGGGCTACATCCTATTATTAAAGGGGGGGAAAGAACTCATAAAACTCAAAACCAACCAACCAAACAACACAATCAAAAAGCTGGCTGAGGATCTGAAAATACACTTCTCCCACGATAACATGCGAACAGCCAATAGGTATATGAAAAGATGTTCAACCTCACTGGTAATTAGGGAAATGCAAATCAAAACCACAATGAGATACCACCTCACACCTGTGAGAGTGGCTATTATCAATAAGACAAGCAATAACAAGTGATGGAGGTTGTGGAAACAAGGGAACCCTCATTCACTGCTGGTGGGAATGCAGACTGGTGCAACTACAGAAAACTCAAAATCATGTATTTACAAAGACATATGCACCCCTATGTTCACTGCAGCATTATGCATGGTGGCCAAGATATGGAGACAACCAAAGAGTAAAGAGGACTGGATAAAGAAGATGTGATACATATACACAACGGAATACTACACTATCACAAGAGATATAAAACTGAAACTCATACACACAAACAGCAGTGTGGTGGTTGCCAGAGGGAAAGGTTGGGGGGTTCGGGGAGGATAAAAGGGTCCTAACATATGGTGACTTTGGGTGCTAGGCTCACAGTGCAAAATACAGGTTTTGTAACACAGAAAGCCACACCTGAAATCTATTATGATCATGTTGACCAATGTCACCCCAATAAATTTAATTAGAAAAAAAAATGGTGGGGAAACAAACAGATAAAACAATGAACAGTGGTTTGGCAGATGCCACGAGAATAAAAATCCGTGCACTTGGAGGATCACCATGTTTCACCGAAATTCAAATGACCACATACTTTGTCCTTCACTGGTACCAAACTACAGGATGGACAGCATTCATTCAAGATTCAATAGTTATGAATATCCTCCCACCACTCCCCACCCCTCCCGTACCCTGCTGCATTTCTCTTCATCACTTACCACTATGCAACCCTTTATATTTTATTATTTCCCTTGTTCCCTTTTTATTTTATCCATTTATTGTTAGAATGCAAGTTCTGACCACCAGGGGGCAGACGCTCTGACGGTAGGTTAGCTTGCTGCTGGGGTCTGACCAATGGGGACTGGGGTGAGAGGGCTGGACACACCCTAGAGCCCTCCCTCGGTTACTCCCTCCAGGCCAGCCAGCCCCCATGGGCCCAATCCAATTGGCTCCTATCACAAGCCAAGCCGAGGGATCCCACCCACGCATGAATCAGTGCATGGGGCCTCTAGTTCAATAAATATTTGCGGAATGAATTTATTCAGCATCAAAAATTAGCCAGTACTAAGCTATATGCAGAAAATACAATGGTGAGCAAAACAGATATGCTTCATTAAAAAGCATGTAAATGCCCATGTCCTCACCTCTTCCACACTCACCTCAATGAAGGACAGGATCCCTGAGAATGAGACGTCCATTCCTTTTACCGTGTATGGCAGTTCAACTAGCTTCTTGCCTCTATGTGGGAGTACATGAGGCACTAAGCCTGTAGTCAGCCGGTTGCTCACCCTCCAAAATTCCTCCCAGACCTCATTAGTGTGTACATAAGAAAAGGCCAAAAGCCCCACCAGCCAGCCTCTTTCCACCTAATGGCCCCTTACCGCTTTGCCATCTGTTCAATGTTGTAGCCTGGACTTGGGTCATTGGAAATCTAGCAGATAAAAAAAGACGAATCAGGTATCCAGTAAGCATAAGAAGTGAGTTTACTACTTTCTCCCTCCAGTTCCATGGCTCCCCAAAAAGTCATTCACATCTTGTGTTCTCTGCAGCCCAACAGCTTACCTTCAGCACTCGAGCAAAACGATCCAGACAATTACCCACAGCAATATCGATGGTTTCCCCAAAGATGCGGTAACGATGTTCTGAATATGCAATCACCTAAGGGTGATGAGGATGTCCATGAAAATCTCAAGTCTGTAAAGAGGAGCAGTTGGCTTTGGGGAAGAATATAGCAGAGGAAGGTCAACATGGCCACTAGAGCATCCAATAAGAAATACAAAGTGCTTTGCCAAACTCTAAGTGGATTTTTTTGTAGCTCTTATCTGAGAAGAAGCTCACATATACCTTGAATATTCCCAGAGCAGATTCCTAATCTATAAAGATGGTCAGAGCAAAAGCAAACGGTCACTTCAAATACATTTTTCTAGCTTGGAGATTCCTGACATATCCCTTAAAAGCAGTCTTGACAGGTGACAGACTAAGGAACTTTATATTTTATGCTTAAGACAGGGAACCAGAGTCCTTTTAGAGTATCCTATCAGGGCAGTACTATTTATAAACATGAAAAGTAGTAGTAAAAATAAAAAACCACCTCAACAATCCCATATTGGGTCAGATTGATGGCTGATCCAACTCAACCCTGGCAATCAACTTATGTCCAGTCTTCATAAGTGACCAACTTCTAGCACAGAAAACAGAACCCACTGACATATATGCTTCATATTTCTGGCAGTGAGGGGTTCCTAGGGACCAGAGGAGTCTCTTTTCCCCTGGTGCTGCTGAGGAGTTCCTTGCTTTCTGATGTAAATTTTACTCTGCTGCCAAAAGGCTGGTGACGGCCTTGGCTGGGTGGCTCAGTTGGTTGGAGCATCATCCAGTGAGGCAAAAGGCTTGGGGGTTCAATTCCTGGTCAAGGCACACACCAATGGGTTCGGTCCCCAGTGGAGACAACCGATTGCTTTTTGTCTCTCTCTCTCCCCTCCCACTTCCTTCCCTCTCTAAAAATCAATAAAAACATATCCTTGGCTGAAGATGAAAAAGAAAGAAAGAAAAAAAAAAGGTTAGTGACAAAAGGGGAAGGAAATTTTCCTGCCTTGGTTCTTCTTTTTTTGTTACTCCTCACCCGATAGTTTTCCATTGATTTTTTTTTTTTTTTTTTTTTTTTAAGAGAGAGTGAAAAGGAGGGGGAGAGAGACACAGTGATTAGCTGCCTCCTACACCTGCCCTGACCAGGGTCAGCGATTGAGCCTTCAACAGAGGTATGTGCCTATGACAAGAAATGAACCCTAAGCCTCTTAACTATTGTAAGCTTCTATTGCTACTTTCCACACCCCACTTTCCCTAACCTTGAATGTCATCATTAGGCCTCACACAGATACATGCCCTCGACCTGTTAAAGTTCCCACATTATTTTCATGGGAATGTGTGCTTCATCTTTAATAACTATTTCACACAATGAAGTTTTAGAACATAACCCTTTCATAGACTGGGGACAATGACTATTTCTGACAATAACTCCATCAGGTGTTCTTTGGGAAAAAAGGTTGCAGTTTTCCAACCCCGACCTAAAAAAGTCTTATAAGGCATCCCATACAACTATGACTTCCCCTATAAACTTAAAATATCTTCAACCATTTATAAAGTGTTTTAAAAATTATATTTACACCCTTAAAGTAACAACTTCTATATATTCCTACCAGTAATGTAAACAAAACATATAATAGTCATAAAGAAACAAATCGTGTAGTGCCTTTTAGTTTTAATTGCTAAGATCTGTACAAAAATTAGCTTCAGAATAATGACAATGAAAATCCTTTCTTCTGAGGGCTTCAATCCTTATCATTCTTTCATTTTCTAAGGAAATTCCTAAGAAATTTTTTATCTTTGTATGTGAAAGTCATTTGATTCTGATTATCCTGCCCAAATCTGCACTGTTACAAACTGCATTGTGGATTTTCTAGTGTGCCACAGTTTATAGGTTCAAACGAGCCCAGCTTTGTTTTGCAGTTCCTGCCACTCAGGTAAAGCATGAAAGGTGCTGGTGTAGTTCCTTAGAAATTAAGAAGAAATGGTGTAGTCTGCTAAATACCTGTGTATTTCCTCCACTGACATACAGCACAGTGGGGCTGGTGGCCCCAGTGACGAGGCGGCCCATTTCGATGTGCCCTATACAGTGGTTCACTCCTAGCAGCGGCTTATTCCACAGCTGGGCCACGGTACGGGCCACAACAGCCACAGAAACCAGTGGGGCACCCATGCCAGGGCCTAGGGAGATGGAAATGGGAGTTAGAATCCTTTAGGGATTGAGGAAGCGGGAAATATGAGCGAAAGGCTGAGATAGTGATGGTAGCAGAGGCAAACTGCAGACTATTTTATTTTGATATAGCCAAGTTCCGGGTATATTCTTCCACTGTCCACCACTCAGCCCGCCATACCTTTGGTGTAGGCAATGCAGTCAATATCCTGGGAGGTTAAGCCAGCCTCTGTCAGTGCCTCCTGCAGCAAGTCCAGGACAACAGCTCGGTGATGCCTGGCAGTATCACCTGGAAGAAATCCTAGGAGATGAACAGAAGTCAGAGATCATAGAGGCTTTTGGGTAGAAAAGGCAGATAGCAACACAAGACAGGTGTTTTAGTATTAGGAAGAGTCCCTTGCACACTCTTCAAGCATCCTGTCTTCCAGGTGCTCAGATATACTACTGCCAGTCTGCTCAGCGAGGATGATCACCTCCTCCAAAATGCCTTTCTTCATATTCAACTTCTTCTCAGCCTTTAGGACTCAATCCAGGTGACACCTACTTCATATCCTTTGGTGATCTTCTCTAAGACCCCTGAGCATGACCACAATATTGTTTTTAACCATGCCCAATATTTTCATCAAGAGCCTGTTTACCGTAACATCTTTGCCTCAAGCATTTCCTCCACAAACATTTTAGCAGCACAAATACTTGGCCTTAAAGTATATTACTCTGCAATTGCACAGTAAAAGATAAAATAATGGAAAATAATAGAGGGGCACTGAAACATGAAAAATTAATAACAAAATTAAAAATACTTTATTGTGCCGAAACATGTTTGGCTCAGTGGATAGAGCGTCAGCCTGTGGACTGAAAGGTCCCGAGTTCGATTCCAGTCAAGGGCATGTACCTTGGTTGCGGACACATCCCGGTAGGGGGGTACGGGAGGCAGCTGGTCGATGTTTCTCTCTCATCAATGTTTCTAACTCTCTATCCCTCTCAATTCCTCTTTGTGTAAAATCAATAAAATATATTAAAAAAATACTTTATTGTGAAAAATAAAAATATATTGTCTTCCAATTGTTCATAGTATTATACTTTTTTTTTTTGCTTGTTGATTTCATCTCCTTGTTTGGCATCACATTTTTCCTTTTTCACTATAATTCTTCCTTCATTAAGAGATATCAGTTTCGCCGGGACCGGTTTGGCTCAGTGGATAGAGCGTCGGCCTGAGGACTGAAAGGTCCTGGGTTCCATTACAGGCAAGGGCATGTACCTTGGTTGCGGGCACATCCCCAGTAGGGGGTGTGCAAGAGGCAGCTGATCAATGATTCTCTCTCATCGATGTTTCTAACTCTCTATCCCTCTCTCTTCCTCTCTGTGAAAAATCAATAAAATATATTAAAGAAAAAAAAAGAGATATCAGTTTCAACTAAAGAAATAAGTATTTTAAAAAATATACACATTTTTATTGCTTTCAGAGAAGAGAAACAGAGAGATAGAAACATCAATGATGATGAGAGAGAATCACAGCTGCCTCCTGCACATCCCCTACCAGGGATGAGCCTGCAGCCAAGGTACAGCCCTTGACAGGAATCGAACCTGGGATCTTTGTCCACAGGATGACACTATCCACTGAGCCAAACCGGCTTTGGCTATATATGTATTTCTAATGAGTAACCCATGATAACATCACCGGTTCAGGGAGCCTTTTAGGGTACACACAAGTCAATTGCCCTCTCCTACACACACACAGGTGATTTGGGAGAGGGTAGGCATGATATAAAGTCATAACTTACAAATAATATTTATTAAAAGTTGTAATGTGACAGGTCCTTTTAATTCTCAAGACCCCATGATGCAGGTGTTATTCCCATTTTAAGAGTCAAGACTTTCCCCAAACACATATTGACCATGAATATTGTAAAGCCAGCCAGTTCTGTCTGATTACCTAAACTGGGAGTCTTGACACTCACTCTGGAAATTTTTATTAATCTATATGTTATCCTATTTATCTTACGGTCACGTTCTGTTGACATGTCAATCTCCAGAGCAGGCTCATCACATCTGCTTTTGTATGCAACTATTTTTTTTTTTATCCAACACTTAGCACATACATGGCACTCAATAAAAGCTGAACGAACAATGAAGATGCAGGTACAGGTGCCTGTGACTCCTCTCCGTCAGCTTTGTGACGTTCACAGACGTCTCGTAACTTCAGAGACTGGAATCAAAAGCCCTAGGAGGGGACAGTGCGCTCCACGCCCCGCTTCGCTCGTGTTTGGGAAGATGGAAAGGATGCCGGGCGGGCCAGCGCGCGGCCAACTTTCTAAGCCCCCGACTCACCGGTGCCCGCGGGCGTGACGTACGTGCGCCGCGGGTTTGCCAGCACCGCGCCATCGCGCACCACTCCCACGCCGATCTTGTTGGCGCTGCCTTCAAAGCCCAGCACCGTGGGCATGGCCGGAGCGGGGAGGACGCGCCCGCAGGGTCCCGGCTCACACGGCGGCCGCGGAAGCCCCACCGCCCCGAGAGCACAGGAAGGAGTCCGCAGCAGCTGAGGGGCGGGACGCACTGTCGAGCACCAAACGACTCCGCGTGTCGCGCCGTCCCGCCCTCGTCGTCACGGCGACGCGTCAAGGCCCCTTCAGGAACCTGTCCTCCTCACTGCCGGGGACGCTGAGCCGCCACCAGTTCCTTGCACGCAGGCCAGCTCCGGTGCCTCTCTCCGGCGGGCCGGCCCTGCCTTCGCCACGGACTGTTTTTCTCTCTCGCACCGCGCTGGGGTCTTCGGCCGGGGTGGCAGGAGGAGCCGTGCGGCGGGCACCGGGATAAACAGTCCGAGAACAGAGGGCTGGGGCCTTTCGTCGCCGGGAGACTTTGGAGAAGGGCGGGCCGAGGCTCCCGTCACGTGGTGCCGGACGGACGAATCGCCGGCATTCCTGCACTACGCGGGGAATACCCTGGGTCATGTGACCACGCCAGTTACCCACGTGGGGGCACAGCGTGCTCCATTCTTTGTGCTCGAGCGAGAAGGATCCCGGCGGCAACTTTAGCAGGTCGGATCCTGGGTTGCTGTTCTTTTGCCCATCACAAGGGCTGTTCTGGGCGTCTGATCAGCTAGCGTAAGCCGGGGCCCTTAGCGAAGGCCCTCGATTGGCCTGAGGGAAGACCTTGGAGGTGGCCACATAGATCGCTGTGGAGTGATCCAGTGTTGTGGGTGAGGGGCTAATGAGCCTATGGCGCGGGGAGGCGGGGAAGGGATTCAGATTTAACGCGCCGCTCTGGGAAGAGCCTTTTCCCCAAGGTTAGCTGCCTGATTCACCATTCGTTTGCATCTGTAGGCAAGGCGGTGGAAATACTGCTCCGCGTGGCCAAGTGGTGCAGGAGGGCGTGCGTTCCAGTGATGCCGCCGAAGCGTGGGAAAAAGGGAGCGGTGGCTGAAGACGGGGAAGAGCCCAAGATTGGTAAGAGTGAAATGAACCCCTCTCCCTTGAGGCTGGGATGGTGGTGCTGCTCATTTATTTTATAAACGGGAAGTACGGCCCGACGCACCACATTTTTGCAGTTTCAAGAACTCGCGGCAACTGCAGGCTCTCAGGGGGCCTGTAGTTGACCCCGGATGAAAGTTGGTTACCGCCAACTTTTATCACTGTGTACTACTTATTTTGTAGAACCGGAGGCCAAGAAGCGTAAGACCGGAGCAGGAGCAAAGAAAAATGAAAAAGAGGCAGCAGGAGAGGGGTCAGTCGTATATGAGGACCCCCCAGATAAGAAAACCTCGCCCAGTGGCAAATCAGCCACCCTCAAGATCTGCTCCTGGAATGTGGATGGGCTTCGAGCCTGGATTAAGAAGAAAGGATTAGACGTGAGTGGAAATCAAGGAGGGGGAAGAGATAGGCTTTAGTATTGAATGATCTTGCGAGTATCCATCTCGCAGGTTGTTTTTTTTTTTTTTTTTTTTTTTGTGGGAGATGTATAAAGAAGGGCTTCACCAAGTCATAACAACCATTTCTTGCCTATCCATTCCATTGACATTTTCTTAAATGTTTAATATCTTCATCTCTTTCCCAGCATATTGAAAAAAATCTTACTGGACTTGCTCCATTTTTATCTCCAGTGTATTTTGTTTTTAAATAACTAGTGCTTACACAATGCAATTCACAGATGCTATATTATATAATTGTACTGTTGAAACATACAATCAGTCTTATTGGCCAATATCACCCCAATAAATTTAATAAAATTTAAAAATGAAATAATGCTTTAAAAGTCTTAGCTATCCACTCCCTATAGAAAAAACACAATCTCCACAGGGTTGTTCAATTAGTTACCAGTTATCTAATTGCTTATTGTGCTAGACTGTTTAACTCCTTATGCACAGGGACCCTGCCTCCTGTTTATCACTAGTACTTAGCACAGATTCAGTAAATAGCTGCTGTATTGATGCTATCTTTTACACCTTTCATTTTACTCAGTGGGTAAAGGAAGAAGCCCCAGATATCCTGTGCTTGCAAGAGACCAAATGTTCAGAGAATAAACTACCAGCTGAACTTCAAGAGCTGCCTGGACTATCCCATCAGTACTGGTCTGCTCCTTCAGACAAGGAAGGATACAGTGGTGTGGGCCTACTCTCTCGCCAGTGCCCGCTCAAGGTCTCATATGGCATTGGTGAGAGCCTACTGATTCCTAATGCCTGCACACTTCCAACCTAATTGCTACTACCCCACTCCAGCCCCAATTCTTGATTCCTTTATTCTCTTTTGCTTTGCCTATACTTTCATTTTAAATATATATTTTATTGATTTTGTACAGAGAGGAAGGGAGAGAGATAGTTAGAAACATCGATGAGAGAGAGTCATCGATTAGCTGCCTCTTGCACACCCCCTACTGGGGATATGCCCGCAACCAAGGTACATGCCCTTGACCGGAATCAAACCCGGGTCCTTCAGTCCCCAAGCCAACGCTCTATCCATTGAGCCAAACCGGTCTCGGCTATACTTTCATTTTAAATTATGTTTCCCCCTTATGCTTTTTTTGTACTGATACTGTTTCATTTCTCCAGGTGAGGAGGAACATGATCAGGAAGGCCGAGTGATTGTGGCTGAATATGAGGCATTTGTGCTGGTAACAGCCTATGTGCCTAACGCAGGCCGAGGCCTGGTGCGCCTGGAGTACCGACAGCGCTGGGATGAAGCCTTTCGCAAGTTCCTGAAGGACTTGGCCTCCCGCAAGCCCCTTGTGCTGTGTGGGGACCTCAATGTGGCTCATGAAGAGATTGATCTTCGCAACCCCAAGGGGAACAAGAAGAATGCTGGCTTCACCCCACAAGAGCGGCAAGGCTTTGGGGAATTGCTGCAGGCTGTGCCGCTGGCTGACAGTTTCCGGCACCTCTACCCCGACACTGCCTATGCCTATACCTTTTGGACTTACATGATGAATGCTCGATCTAAAAACGTTGGTTGGCGCCTTGATTACTTTCTGGTGTCAAATTCTCTGTTACCTGCATTGTGTGACAGCAAGATCCGTTCCAAGGCTTTGGGCAGTGATCACTGTCCCATCACCTTATACCTAGCACTGTGATACCTCCCCCAAAACATTTTAAGCCTGGGAAATAAGCCCCTAAATTAGCTTTAAAAATTGCTTTCAAGAGAATTCTGCACTGTATTTCCCTTCAGCCAGGCTCCTAGTGACAGATGGGATTCTTTTAAGCCCAAGGTTTTGTGTTTTTGGTGTGCAGGGTTTCTTGTTTTACTTTATTTTACATTAAAGAAGCTACTGATGACTTCCTTTGAACTGTCCATGTGGAAATAAAGAGCCATAGTTTCAGCCTTGCTGTCTTTGTGTCCTACCCCTCTGTGGAGCTACAAATTCCCCCTCCCTCATTTTTGTCTTACATACAGATTAACGATTAGAAAAGGGCAGAGTCATGACGTTATTTATTTACAAGCATAGGATGAGTCCTTAACCTCCCCCAACACAGCGACCCTACATAGCCCAGTGAAATGCTGCTGGAGGGTAAGGTTGGAAGGAGGAATTAAGGGGAACACAGGACTAGGGGAACATACCCCATATTAAATAGTTATATACACATCAGTTCCTGTGGTTCTGTACAAAGCAGCGGTTAGCCCCACCCCCACAGGACATGGAATGGGGAGAGGAGACTGAGGGGACTGAGGCCAGAGCCAGTCCCTGGTGAAGTGCAATAGCAGCAAGGTCCTAATGGTGCACAAGAGGGAGGGAAACCCCCAGGGCAACCCACCCCAACCCTGCCCTGGAATGTATAAGGGACAGGAATGGCTCAGGGAGCATACAGGAAGGACAAGGCTAGAACCATCTTTTTAAGATCCAGGTTTAGGAGCAATATTTCCCCTACTTCACCCTAAGTACAGCAACCCTAGGAGGAAAGCAGATGGCCTGCAGCAGTGTTATCTACCCCTCCATTCGTAGGTGAGGGCCTGGTTCCTTCCTACTCTCCAGGGAAAAGGAAGGCAGCTGCTCGGCTCCTCGCAGAGAAGCCCAGGGAGCCTTTTGTCATGGCTTCCTTTTGTAGTGTCACTGTCCCCACCAGGGAGGGGCCAGGCACAGTCTGTGGGTCATCCTGGGGCTCAGGAGAAGTTCTGGACAGGGTGGCTGACCTTCATACAGGCCCAATAGAGGGCCCGCCCTAAACACAGAACAGCCAACAGGATGGCAAATGCCCAGGCTGCATAGATGCCTCCATATCGCCGTGCTTGCTTCCATGTCCCAAACTGACAAAGAAAAAGAAAGAATGACCGTTACTGTGATCTCTCACCACCTTCTAGCAGCCCTGATAACAGTAACACAAGCTTCAATCCCTGCTCCCTATCCGTGTGCAGCCAGACACATTCAGGGACCTGCTTAAGGGCCCAGTTGTTCAGTTTCCTTCCCCAAGGCAGGAATAAACTCAAACAATCCCAATCATCTGTCAGTTTTTCTTAATGTCTTACAATTGCACCAGGTTTCCTAAATAGCAACTCCTAACTTAAGCCATTTCTCCACTGTCCTATCTTCTGCATAAAAAAGATGGCTGGCCCGGCCAGCGTGGCTCAATGGTTGAGCACTGACCTATAAACCAGGAGGTCACGATTCGATTCCTGGTCAGGGCACATTCCCCGGAGGATTGTGGGTTGGATCCCTAGTGTGGGGCATGCAGGAGATAGCCGATGCATGACTTTCATTATTCATGTTTCTCTCTCTCCCTCTCCTTTCCTCTCTGAAATCAATAAAAATATATTTTTTAAAAAGATGGCTGTTCTTTACTCCTGTAGTAACAAAGACAACTATTCAGTCACCTCAACTTCAGCTCCTCTATACATTAAAACACAAAATAAACACAACGCCCTTGATTTCTTCCTCTTGTCCTCCCCCCCGCCCCCCCCCCACCCCCCCCCCACTTTTTAGGTTAGCCATTCCCAAATCTTAGCCTACAGAAATGAGGCTGAAGAATAAAAGGGATCGGATCTCAGTTACTCACAGCAAGGCCAGTGGCAGTGACTGCCAAGAGTAAACCAAGCAAGAAGCAGCAGACACATCTCTTTCGTGGATATCTGCGCCCAATGGATGACCTGTGGGGAGGCAAGCAGAAATGGATGTGTGAAATGGTCCTGTAATTTTCACTCTACCCCTTACCAATTACCAGCTCAATGATGGCCATTCATAATCACTTACACTTTCCTGCAGTGAGGACAACGGGCCAAGGTTCGGTCTGTGAACTCTGTCCACTATGGAGAAAAAAGGGAGAAACCAATTAATAGCATAAGCAGGGCCATTTATATTGAGAGTCCTACCGTGTTTCCCCGAAAATAAGACATCCTCCGAAAATAAGACCTAGTGCATGGCAAGATAAGACATCCCCTGAAAATAAGACCTAGCGCAACTTTGGGAGAAAAAATTAATATAAGACACTGTCTTATTTTCAGGGAAACCGGGTAGGTCAGGGGAGGGTGGGAAATGGGTTTTCGTGGAACAGGCCTGTTCGGGATTCATTATCTTAAGTCAGAAACACATTCACAATTCCTCCTTAGGTTTTCCCCCAGGACTTCCCAATACCCCTCCTCACCAGAAAAGTGTTCTTGCAATGTCCACAGATGACCCTGACACCCACGGGTTGAGGTTCTGGACTTAGAGGTCCTGGGTGCACAGGCCCCAGATTAATGATTCTTTTGCTGTACAAGAAAAAGAAGTGTTTGAAAAGTCTTTAATCCTCCTTCATACCCCCCACTCCCTGCCTCACTATGTTCCTCTACTTCTCTGTACATTTAACATACCCTGCTCTTCAATGCTATCCCAGAGAACCCTTGAGGAAGAGCACTGCTTTAACTACAGGTCTTTAATTTCCCTTTCTCTCAGGATAACTGACCCAGTCCCCAAAACTCTCCATCTTCCCTAAGTACACCATTTCATCCCAATCTTTTTATTCAGAGATGAGGAAGATGACTACAACATTCTAGAGGCACAACAGTCCTTAGCCTTTTCTCCTAAATAAAAACACCAGGCTCCCTAGCCTTGACATTCTCTACAACCATTCATCCTTTTTGGGCTTTCCAGGTTTCCCCACTGATGCCTTCCCCAGCTGATGACTCTTACCAGTAGGGTCGAGGACAGGCAATTCGCTGCGAAGTCACTTTGCAGATAAGGAGACAGTTGCAAGGGCATCGGACATATTTTTTCCCAGGGGGTGCATTCTTGATTGGCTACAGAATAATGGGAATATCAGTAAGCAAACCTCTAATCCCAATCCCTTTCATTTCCTCCAAAAACACCTTGTGAGGAGAGATCAGATAAATAACAGTCTTAGCATGGACAGAGAAATGAAAGAAAGGCATACAGCACGAGGTTGGCAAATGAAAACGAGGCTTAAGTATTTGGGATAGGTATGAAGATTCAGGATGGTAAGCATTAGCTTTGGTGAGTGGCTGCTGGGGAAAGGGCTGTAGGAGACTCCTCGAACTGAAAGCTGGGTTTTATGAAGAGCTCTGGCTGAAGGTCAGGGTCTAGAATCAGGGAATCAGAAAAAGGATTCAGGAAACAGGAGATATATATGTTTATACAAACATATATGTGTGTATATATTGCACATATATGTTTATATTGCAGATATATGTGCATATATGTATATATGTATATGTGTGTGTATATATATATGTATAACTCACGGTGGCTTCGTTGCAGACGCCACATTTGACTACATGCTGATGCATCTTGCCTTCCACGTTGATGAGAGACTGGCAGACTCGGCAGGTGATCATGGGGGCATTCCCACTGTCGGGGCTGGTCAGGGGTGAGTAGGGGGGTGGGTCATCCCCAGGCAACACGGCTGGGTGTCCCTCGGGGAACGGGGGAAATGCTGGGGAGGAAGGGAAAGAGAAGGGCTGGCATCACTTGCAGACACCACCATTGCTGCTCCACGGGTCAGGGATCGCTTTCCGGTCCTCAGCCTTTCTGACCAAAGCCCGGCGGGCTCCTTATATAACTGAGACCGTCCCGCCATCAGCTTCCTCAGAAACCCCTTCCGTTTTCAAGATCGGCTGGCGATTGGGAAGGAAGGAAGCCTCGCCCAGTCACAAGTGCAGCAGCAGCTCCGCACCTGGCGCGGGGCCCCGCCCTCCACCTGCGGCCCCGCCCCTCCGCCTCTCGGAGAGCCCCCGGGAGCACGGCGGACCCACCCGGCTTACCCTGGGGCGGGACATGTTTACCGGCTCCGTAGGGTGGTGCTGAGGGGGTCAGGCCTCTCCCGGGCCCAGCCCCACTCCCGCCTGGCCCCGCTAATCCGTTGCCACCGGCGCCACCGTCGATGGGCTCGGAGAGCAGCGGGGATCGCTCTCCATCGGCCGCCATGGCCGTCACCGCCGCCTTCAGCCTCGGCCAAGGAGGGTCCGGCTCCTGTCGCCGCCGCCGCCGCCGCCGCCGCCGCTACCGGGTCCCCAAGGCGCCTGCGCGCCGCGCGCCCGGCCCGCACCGCAGCCGGCGGCCGCCCCGCCCTGGTCTGTCCCGCAGCACGTGACGGGCTGTCCCCGCCCCCGCCGGGTTATCATTCGCGAAGAGGCACCAATTCCCGGCCCCGGGGAGGCGGCTCTCCTCTACCATTGGGGGGCGTCGCGGAAACGTCAGCTGTCACATGACCTTGCGAAAGGCCGCCGGGCCTGCCGAGGCTGCACGTGACGAGAGGGTGAGCGAGCCATTGGCGGCGAGGCCATCGCGCTACCTCCGGGCCAGCAGGTGGGCGGGGCAGCGCCGGCTCCCGGGTCACGTGGCGGGGAGCCGCGAGTCCTCTGTTACGCGCCCCGAGCGGGGTGCAATCTTTGCTTCTCATTGGTGCAAAGGCTCCATGAAAAAGTTTTCTCCCTCTTTGCGGCGATGATTGGCATCCCATTGGCTGGAGGCTTGCATTCCCTCGTCCCGTGATCCTCGCGGGCGCAGGTGGATTGGCCCGAATTTAGCTCTTTCAGAACCCGGAGCGCGGCTCAAACGAACGGGCAGTGGAAGCGTGCGGAGCTTGGGATGTCCGCGCAGCTAGAGGAGGAGCTGTCAGACACTGAGCTCAAAGAAAACGTGCTAAAAAAGTCAGTGAAAGATGTACCATGAGGAAATGATTTAAAATGTTAAAAATTATAACTCCAGCCTTGCTTGGAGTCACTTCTGGAATAGGACACAAGACTGGCTTCTCCTGGAAGCTGGTCTGCAGATGTCACCTTTACCCCTATCCTTAATTGGATTGTGAGATTATCTTTTTATAAGTCTGCATGGAAAGTATTTTTAAAAAATGTTTTTATTGATATCAGAAAGAGAGAGAAATTGAAACATCAATGGTGAGAGAGAATAATTGATTGGCTGACTCCTGCATGCCCTCTACCGGTGTTCCAGCAGGCAACCCAGTCATGTGCCCTTGATTACAATCAAACTGGGACCCTTCAGTCCACAGGCTGACACTCTGTACGTTGAGCCAAACCAGATAGGGTGAAAAGTATCTTTTTATCGCGTTAACCAATCAAGCCCAATGATTTTTTTATTGATTTTTTTTTTTAACAGAAAGGGAGAGAGAGTCAGAAACATCAATGAGAGCAAAACATCAATCAGCTGCCTTCTGCACACCCCCTACTGGGGATGTGGGGCAACCAAGGTAGATGCCCTTGACCAGAATCAAACCTGGGCCTTTCAGTCTGCAGGCTGACACTCTATCCACTGAGCCAAACCAGTATTCACTGAGCCAAACTAGTTTCAGAAAGCCCAATGGTATTTTTTGTCACCTTGTTTGGCAGATGAGACAGTCTTGAGACTTTCTAAAGGGTCAACTTTGCCCCTAGGCAACAGTAGAGGTTGTTCTGACAAGTATTGGAAAAGTTCTTAAGTAACTCAGGCATTTAAACACAGAGCCAATTCACCTACCCACTCTCCTGTTCTATATTCATCAATACTCAACTTGCACAGTAGCTAAAACTTAATAGGTGCTCTACTAAATAGGGACCCAGGCAAAGATAAAATGTGTGGGTTTCCTCTTCCCTGCTTAGGGGAATGGGACTTTTTTTCTTTGTTTAAATTTTATTGGGTGTTTCTGAGTAGAGCAAGGACAGTCAGTCAAGGTGAATGGCTTTGTTATGCAAAGAATAATTTAGGATTTCCTTGATTACGTAAGGGTAAGGTGAGTAGGCTGTTATTCTGGAATTCAAAGGTGAGTCACTTTAGTGAATCTTTGTTTTATGAAGTTAAGTAATATCCTTTAGTTAAGCCAGTACTGGATAGGAAGAGCCCATTGTCATAGGAGAAATCAAATGGAAATGGTTCAGCTCCTGCTCTTAGAAAATATCTGATTGTTGCAATAGGAATACCTTAGCTCAGGTCTATTAAATGTAGGGGTTCTTTGACTGAGAATAATTCTGGAATGGCCACTTTTTCCTGAAGAGCCCCTCAGATGAGGGTTCTATCTTACCCCTTCCCAGAAATCAAAACAGAACTCTGAGAGTCTATCAGTAACCTCTGAACTCTACCTTTGACCCTAGTGCCCTGCCAGGCCTCTTCCTTAACCTTCTGTGGCCTTTATGGAAGCTTGAACCACAACTGATTGCCCCACCCTCACCACCAGCCCCAGGTCATAGCCCAAGTTGTGACTGCCCTATACAGGAGAGGCAACAAGGAATTGGGGGGAAAAAAAAAAAAAAAAAAAAAAAAAAAAAAAAAAAAAAAAACTTGAACGATGAAGACGAGATTAGTTAGAAGCCTCTTCACTGAACCTAATACTGAGGAAAATGCAGCTCTTCCCAGATATTTAATAATAAAGGTATTTTGGCCAAAACCAGTTTGGCTCAGTGGTAGAGCATCAGTCTGTGAACTGAAAGGTCCCAGGTTCGATTCCAGTCAAGGGCACGTACATTGGTTGCGGGCACATCCCCTATTGTGTGCAAGAGGCAGCTGGTCGATGTTTCTCTCTCATTGACCTTTCTAGCTCTCTATCTCTTTCCCTTCCTCCTCTCTGTAAAATATCAATAAAATATATTTTAATAAAATAAAATAAAAATAAAGGTATTTTGTTGGCCCAGCCATTATGGCTGTTATAGGTGCTGAAGACTTCACCTGGGTTCTGAGTTTTAGACACAGAGTTTTCAAGTCAGCTACTACTTAGAAGTAAATATCCATCTAGCAGTTCTGTCCCACAGACACTTAAAGAACTATAGGACCTCTGGATACAAAAATAGGCAAGGGGTTGTAGCTCCAGGGACAGGCCAGTCTGCTGCTTTTTCTGATGTTTGTGGCACACAGTTGCTCAAGTTTTCACTGGGGTGGAGTATTGTTCATTATTTGCACCTTGATTGCACATTACACATATACATAAGTAAGGCTTTTGTGACTCTTCCACCCTCACCAAAGCCTTACTTAAAGTTCATTTAAATTTAGTATTATGTGTATCAAAATGTGGGAGAGATGGAGGATTAGACACAGTATCAAGGATCCTCTTGGAATGAGTGAATAGAATGGAGCCTTTTTTTTTTGTAGTAGTAGTAGTAGTAGTAGAAGTAATAGTAGTAGTGGTTTGGGCTCCTAAAGGTGAAATATAGGAATGTGGGTAGAGAAGTAAATGGAGAAGTAAATACTAACAAATAGAAAGAATATTCTCTCTGCTAAAACCGGTTTGGCTCAGTGGCTAGAGTGTCAGCCTGCGGACTGAAAGGTCCCAGGTTTGATTCCAGTCAAGGGCATATACCTTGGTTGTGGGCACATCCCCAGTAGGGGGTGTACAAGAGGCAGCTGATCGATGATTCTCTCTCATTGATGTTTTTAACTCTATCCTTCTCTCTTCCTCTCTGTAAAAAATCAATAATATATATATATTTTTTAAAAAAGAATATTCTCTCTGACAGGTATGTGAGGCACTGAAAGGAAAGGTGTAATGGAATTATCCCTGAATTTGTCCTGTTATAGATGCCTTTAATGCCAGACTAACCTTTTTTCATTTAGGTGTGGGCCGGGATTAAGGGAAGGACAATAGCTGTCTAAGTGCTCTCATGATGAAAATGCTTTATAATAAAGAATATATTTATTTATATAATTTAATAAATTCCTTTGAAACTTGAGTTCCAAGGCTCCATTGGGAGGAGCCATTACTTATTCTATAAATGTACTTAACACCCACTTCTTACAGTTCTGGGCAGAGTACTTTAGGAGAGATCTAAGTTCAATAACTTCTGTTTCACCCCAGAGACATAATAATCTGGTAGTGGTTAGAAGACACATGCCCAGAAAGCAAGGCAAGTTGTGAAAAAGAGGTAGGAAAAAAACTCTGTCAGTATGGAAGAGAGAAATGCCTCTTCTGGTCTTCAGTGATCTATTCCTATATAATGAACAGCACCCAAACAAAGTACTGTTTTTTCCCTCAAGATTCTGCAAGTTGGCTTCATGTATGAAAACACTGACATTTCCAGATTCAAAATTTAAATCTGCCGAAACCGGTTTGGCTCAGTGGTAGAGCGTCGGTTTGTGGACTGAAAGGTCCCAGGTTCGATTCCGGTCAAGGGCATGTACCTGGGTTGCAGGCACATTCCCGGGTAGGGGGTGTGCAAGAGGCAGCTGATTGATGATTCTCTCTCATCGATGTTTCTAATCTCTATCCCTCTCCTTTCCTCTCTGTAAAAAATCAATAAAATATATTTAAAAAAAGAAAAAGAAAATCATGATACAACATGTGCTTCATAACAAATGAATAAAACAGTATAATATGAATTCAGGGAAAAATCATTTCTAGTCAGAGTAGACAGAGAAAAATTTAAAAATATAATGAAGGGCCCTGTCTTTAGTAGGTCAATGGGCAGAGAAATGCAAAAAATATAGATAATATCTGCATTTTGATCATAGTTAATAAAACACTTTTATAGTAATACTTATTTCAAATCCCCTTATGATACTGCCATTTGCTAAGCAAAATAAATCAATCAGGAAGCCAAGAACCATGATTTCATTTATACGTGGGATATAAAAGTGAAACTCGTCTGGCAGGCGTGGCCCAGTGGTTGAAGTCAACCTATGAACCAGGAGGTCACAAGTTTGGTTCCTGGTCAGGGCAAATGCCTGGATTGTGGGCTTGATCCCCACAAGGGGGTGTGTAGAGGCAGCCAATCAAAAATTCTCTCTCATCATTGATGTTTCTATCTATTCCTCTTTCTCCCTCTCTGAAGTCAATAAAAATACATAAATTCAGACTTGAACAATAGTATGTATGGTGATTATCAGAGGGAAGAGAGTGGGGATGTAGTAAAGGGGGCCAAATATATGGTGATGGAAGGTGATTTGACTTTGGGTGGTAGGAACACAATGTAATATATATCATGTGTCATATAAATGTACATTTG